ATGGACGTGATGATATAATGTTAACAAAAAAACATCATCCCGGTAAAACCGCAGTAGTGTACAATTGTAATGATAGTTAAACTTAATTTAGAAAAAGTCGAGTCTAGGTTAGTTGATATAAGGTTGGGCCGGCTTAGGCGAAACATTCATCGTGACCTTTTTTTACATTATACATCGCAACCCGCCCAATCATGTGACTAACAGAATTAATATATAAAAGATTAATAATAAAGATCTAATAATTCAAATTCAAACGCGATCCCCTATGCAACCGTATGATATTGTTTCTTTTCAAACCTTATTTATTCTGAGTTCCATTTTTGCTTCTCATTCTACAGCCAAATTCACAAGTCGATTGATTCCGCTTTTGGATAGAAGCAATTGTACGATCGTTCTTTACGTGTCCATCTGCAAGAATTACCTGCTTGTCGTATGCGCATAGGTAGTCACACGTTCGCTCGATTTAGGATTCGTTCGTCAATTCAACTCCGGTGCGCACGTACGTCCCAATACTCGCGTATGAGACAGACCTAGCTTATTTCGTTCAATCCATTCGAATGAATGCACACCGAGGAAATCCTTCATACCATCGTTCCTACATGGATTTCACCTCGGACTCTATATCGTGATCCCATTCGTCATCTAGGTATCCAACCTCCTTCTAGCACACATTTATTAACTTGATATGGAAATAACTAAACGTGACCCATGATCAAGATGATATCACGCATCCAACAGATCATCCACTACCCATACTGACTCAGTTCCAACCCGGAACAGAGATCCCGAAAGAAGTACAATTGAAAAAGAAAAAAAAGCAAAATCCTGTTGAAGGCAAGTTTTTATGCCACTTTTATCAAACTGCCACCTTAACTAAAAGCCGTCACATCAAAATCGTACAGATTCACGAATTTGGAAATAACTACTATTGAAATGAGATGGCAATAATAAGTATCTTTGAATTTGACGCAGGTATTTGATGGGCATTTTGTTGCTCAGTTAAATTGATCAGTACGTATTTGGATTGGTCATAGATTACCACAATCGCTTTTTATGTGATTGGTTATGAAGGAAACAGTTAAATTTCCTGGGTAAAAGCTAACAGAAAAGGGAGGAAATCAGATAATTTAATTATAAATCAGGAAAAGCGTAGGTATGCACGTACGTACGTACGCACAGCGCATACGTGCAATTATCTGGTGCTCGCAATCAATCAGAGAAAAGTTGACTAGTGGGCAAATACAGTCGGTATACAGTGTATGTGATCGTGAGATACCGTCGATGAGAGAAGCTTTGATAATCAAAAAACGGTCTTTCGTAACAATCCGAGCTTGTATGCGTAAAAACCGAATCCCGATTTTCCAAAGGTGTATAACATTTTAGTATAGCATTACGACAAACATGACTATTACTGGTCATGACAAAACAATAATAATATTTTCATTATTATTATTATTAAATAATAAATATCGGTAAATATTTGATGAGCATTAAAGAATATACAGTAAGTAAAAATAATAAATAATAAAGATAAAAAATAATAAAAATAAGAATCAAATAAAAAATAATGAATAATAAATATTGACGACGATACCACCTACCTACCTCCTACCTACCTTTCTTTCTTTCTTTCTTTCTTTCTTTCTTTCTTTAAGCCTTTTCATGTTTAAGAGGGTGCGTTGACCTCACCGGTGACCAGTGATTAACATCACACCTTTACATATTAGTTGGTTGTATATTAGAATACTGATTTCTGTGGTACTTTAATTTGTCGCCTGAACTTTATGTTGTGATCACGGGAAACTCGACCACAACCTCGTATTTATTTATGTTCCTTACGTCAAAAACTTGATTGAGGGAAACGTGGAGTTGACTGATAGAGAATTGAGGATGTCAATGTCTCAGAGACGAAAGTTACGGTGATATTAAATTCGCCGTCGAGTTTTCATCGCGTTTGATTGATCGCTTAAGGCGCATTACTAAACCATAATTTAATCTTTCTCCCTTCCCCCTTCACGCTCGTACTTTCGAATATTCTTTACGGAGGCTTGCACAGAATTAATAGTGAGAGCAGGTGGTCAGGAGCAAGTTGGGTACGTTGAGTGATGATGAATGCGCACGTTCTATGTCATGTATAAAAAAATCCACCCCAATGTTTTTTCTAATTGTCCAACAGGGAAATAGAAAACAAGCAATAACTAGAATGAATAGGAAAAATGATCAAACAAAGGAATGGATAATCCATGTTACCTACGAGGGAGCAGACGAAAACGACATTTAGGTTGTCATTAATTGGTCATGTGATTACAAATATTGGGTGTCATCATCAGTCATCAAACAAACGAAACTTTGATGGCGTCTCATGACCCAAACTTTCTTTTGAGCACATAGTAGCAGGTAGTAGTCTGTTAGGTGGCAGACGGGTAGATTTCACTGAGGCGGCTTAGCGGTTTATACATTGAGATCGAGAATCCCAAGAGAATGCAATGGAATGTCACAGAACGTTGTTAGATGAGGTGAGGGGGACAGATTTACAGTAAATTGGTGGCGAAAAAAAAAAAAAAAAAACTGATTGGTTAGATCGGGTCAATCTAAATGAGAATTACAGTATATCTCGGTGGTAAAAGCTCTGTGGACCGGTAACAACAACACTCTGACCTTAGATCTAACAAAAGAGGAAAATTCTATTTTCCATATCCGGGATCGACATTGTTGTTTGGATGTTTCGCTTTTGCCCCCTCACCAAAGAGGATTATTAAAGCTTTAACAAAGAATACACTTAATCTTAATTGCGTGTAGTAATATTTAGGCTTCGCCTCCCCCATCGAAGAGTGACCTCAATTAAATAAGGGTCAGTCAATGGGCCAATGACAAACGCTTCGCCCCGTATCAAAACAAGGTAACAGGTAAACATCATCGATCCTTTTGGAAAAGCAGCTAAACTCATTCGCTTCCATGTTATGGGTCACACGCAATATAAATCATTTCAGGTTTTTTTTTTTAAGAAAAAAATAAAAAGCTTATTTTTTTAATCGGGTATTTAATATACAGTATTAAACTTTATTTAACAGTGGTTGACGTAAAAGCTGTAACTTGCCGCAAATGTTAACGGGATGTTCTTTGTAATTACATCGACAAAGATTCTGTCGTAATATCATAGTTGCAAAGTTCACAATGGTGGAAACAAAACAAAACGCCAGATTCCTAATTTCCCTATCGTATGCACAATGCACAATGGCCCTAACGTAATTTTATCATAGTAACGTTTGGTCACTTAAATATTTTTTTTCATTCAGGAACTTCGTTTCTCCTGTCAGAAAAAAGTTTTCGATCGGTACAACATCCCCAAATCCTGTCTGTGTAAATTCTCCATGTAGGCGTTTTATTGTCTGCGTGAAACCTGTATTATGGATTTGGAAAGCCACTGCGGAAAAAAAAAAGTTCAGTGCGCGAGCTTCTATAGCTAGGCCTGTTCAATAGACAACAAAATTTATACGTGCACCAATAATAATTTAATTGATAAGGAAAAAATGAATTTCTGATGGGTTTTTCTCAGTTACCTTATTCTCGTTTTCGAATGCACTGAGTTGAGGTACCTGTTCTCTAGGCTCAGAAAATTTTTTTTAATCTCGTTGTGAGGCTCGTCAGGATTCTTGTTGCGAATCCCGTTGATAAACTAGAAATTACTAATAAGAATCATTCATTCAATCTTCTGTATATTTGTGTATCGTTGATGTTCCGTATTTATGCGAATTTGACTCGGCGAAAACCCAGAGATTCGTGTGACATTACGAATCCAGTATTCATGACACAAATTTGTGTCATGATACCATGGTGCAGTGGCAGAGGTTTTTTCTTATTCTTTATCAAAACATAATGTCAGCGAAAGGCTAATCGAGTGTAAACTTTTTTTGGATTTCAGAACAGGTTCCCATAACTTTTCTAATGTTGAGTTGCGAGACTCTATTCAAAGGATAAAGATGACACCGATCATTCTGGGCACGCGGTCAACCTTGAGATCAATTGCCTCATGGGGGATTCGCGGGAAAGAGGAAATGAACTTTGGGCACGTATGTGAACTTTTCAAATGCACGTAAGGGCTTAGAACATGCCATACGCCATTTCCAATTACTATGTTAAGGTTGGTAGCATCGTCTGTTTTACTCTCGAACTGATTCAAAAATCATTATCCTGAGAAAACGCAAAAAAAAATTAGGAAAGAGGTGAAACAGGCTTTTTTTTCTCTTTGAAAAAAGGTGAATTAATCTATTTCTTAAAAAAGAGAATGTGCATTCTTTTTCGCAAAAACTTCTAGAATCTTTTCGTGCCTTTGAGAAATTGCTATCTCGCCTTCAGATGTACTGTACTTTTGCGTTTTAATTGATGTACTGTTGTACTTTTTTGCGTTTTAATTCAACATCTACATCTTTCAACCCCTCCAAAAATTCGAAGAGTTGGTTCTTTTTTTTTGCTATCCATACAACCATTCATGTTTGTCAATTATGGCAACCTTATCGTTTTTTTTTTTTTTTTTACTCAAAGTTTCAAGCTTTCAAACTGGTTCTTTTCTTCAAAAATTTTTTTTTCCACAAATCTCCTTGCTTTTTACATGAGAAACCCCCGCTTTAATTTCTTACAATATGCCCCTGCATTATTTTAAGTGTGAATTTTTTTAATTTTTGTTAATCGAAAAAACTACCCATTTTTTGGAATGAGTCGAAAAACTATTGGTGATGGTGATTTCCAATTTTGGTTTAGCGCATTGGCTCGTTTTAGCTTCTTTGAGGTGAGCGTGCGTATACGTGTGTGAGGATGAACGACAAAAAGGAATGTGCACTTACAAAAAACGTCAAAAAAAAAAAGAATCTATTCTAATTGAGAATTCCTTAATGACTTGTAAATCTTTTTCTTACATGAAATATAAACAATGTGGTGTTTCCTCTTTTTCGAAAGATTTGTTTTTCTTATCTTTTGATGAATTTGATGAAAAAAATTCTGTGTCACTTCGAAAATGCGTAATCTAGTAATTTCAGGAACTCGGATCTACACAACGTTGCGTCAGAAAGATGTAAGTCTTTTGTGTGTTGCACAATACGAATCTCAAGTTCGGCGCAATTGTTCTACGATACATGGTGAAAAATAAATAAACATATACACATACCAATATCAATACTTGCGCGACTCCCTTCCGCCACGACACGTTACGCCATGAGATAACTCTTTCTTATTGTCGCATGAATTAAGGTTTTAACTTAACGCACTGGCACAATCCAGGAATTTGGTCGCAAAAATTTTTTTGAAATTCTATTCACTGACCTAATTAATTTATTCTTCTGTAATGGATCACTGGTGTGGAGAGGTGTCATGTCACAGCCCTTCGGATGCAAGGGATCTGAGGATTGAACGCGTCGTAGAAAAGATTAAACAAACCTTGCGGTCAAGCACAGCGAAAACTGGGCGCGTGTGCCTTCATCTTAATAATTTCCAAATGTGCTCGCGTGTCCTCATTTTTCCTCCTTCTCGAGGGATGTGAGTGTTTGTTTGAATGGCTGTGTCGAATCAGATGACCCATGAATAGGACGGAGAATGAGTTGGCTATTTGGAATTGTCCAAAGTAATCGGGTAAGCCGAGAAAAAGATCGTTCGCGCCGTGCGGAGCCTCCTCTGGATTGTCAATGCCTTTAGTGAACGTTAACTGGGACACTTCATTATGATGAGTTTATTTGGAATTTCATTATCAGGAGGACACGGGCACAATGCGTACGCACCTATGCTAATTAAAAATTTCCGGCTTTGGCGGCGGGAAATTCTGGAAGGTCACGGATCCTCAACATCATTCTCCCATAAAAAAAAGTTGCCGTTGGAATCAAGTTTTTTCTGGTTTCTGCCTATTGGTGATGTAAAAAAATAAGGTTATCGATGG